GTCAATTTAACAAGGGGTAAAAACGTGTAATGTTTTAGGTTTTTGTTTCGAGAATTCGATTCCAACTTTCTTTGATACTAATATATTTTCCTGCAGCTTCATTAATCAGATGATGACTACAATTGTATTTACTCACTAGTTTTATGGATTAGCTGCCATCATCCCAAATTTATACCTCACCAGTACTGCAACAAGAAACTGATATGCTGATATTAATGTTGAGAAGTATTAAAATGATGATCATATGTACAGAAGTTAAACAGCATGTATAACCCCTTTCAAGCAATGATGTTAGCAGTAGAAATTCCCTACCAGGTACTATCAAATTCATCTGTATTCCACCACTTGAGATTCATGAATGTCTCAAAAGCAGTCCATTGGAGCAAATTGATATTGGAAACTTCTTACAACATTGTATGAATGGAGAGTTATGCTGTGTATCCCAAAAACAATAGATAATCTATTGTATGAATGGTGGGAACTTGCAACTAGAAAGATGCAGAAGAAGTTTTGGCGGGCCTTGTAATTTGGAGTGGCTTAGGGAATTTACCTCATATGTAATCAAGTTGTTTTTAACGCCAAAACAATAGAATGGGATGCAATCTTTGGCGTGATTTTTTGTTGTATATTTTGTTGGATAAAGATTAGCAAGTCTGATTTTTCAGCATACACAGAAATTGACTTCATTCGCAATGCTAAAAGCATTCATCTCTAGACAAACACAGATAAAAAACGCGTAAGAAATAAAGTTTAGATTCTGATAATACTAGTATATATATTGTAATTGGATTTATTTCCAATTTTTTATTTTATATTCTTTAACTCATTATATTCTCCTGGTCAGAATGGTTATTTCATTAATAAATCAATGAATTATTATAAAAAATAAATAAATAAACTTTTCACAACATGAAAGAAACTGAACATCTTAAAAGATGCCCCAACAACCCAATAAGCTGTAGTCCTGTATTTAACAACGTAACTCTATTGATAATGTCAGATTCCACTGCAAGTCCCCCTCACAAGTTAATGAACGGACCGATCACTGGAATTCCTTCACTTTAGGCAAGATTAGCAAGAGGTTAAGGAAAAGTTAGTGGAATCCATTCACAGAACCATAACATTAAAGAAAATACAGTTTATTCATTAGTGATGTTAGTCATTAGCACAACAAAGGTCATTGACAAAGAAATAATGTGTATAATATGTTGAATATGCATGGAATGTGTACTAGTCAATGCAAATAGACAAGATCTTTAGAAGTTGAGAAATATACATGGCATGCAATTAATCCTCTTTTCTTCAGCTTTTTGATGGGACAAGTACTAGTGCACACTTCTTCTTCTTCTTTTCCCCAAAGATTTGTGGAGAAAACCATCTTTGCTTAAAGCAAACGGCAACATTTTTCCACATATCCACCTTTTGTTGTCCAAATTGCATCAAATAAATTTTAAAAATCCAAGTTCTGCTTCTTCTCAGATACCCACGTCACATGAGCAAAAGTTCATTGAATTAATGAGACAAATAGTGAAGGATCATCGAAGCTGTAAGCAGAAAAGATCTGAAATGAAAAGAGAAAAATATATGTATAATATGTGTATGTGCATGCATCATGGAATTCATGAAATATTATATCATTTGGGAGAGACAGAGAGAGTGCTTTCTTTCTTTCTCTCTTGCTCATTTCTTTATCTGAGCAGGATTCTATCTCTATCGAAAAAACTTCTCTAGTTCATAGAAATGGAGCTCTGGAACTGATGGGAGCCAACCTTGAACTCTACTTAAAGTTTATTAGGTTATATATATATATAACATTTTGACGTTTTTATAGAATACAAAATTGGCCTCTTAGAAAGAAAATTTACTCGGTACCTTTTAGAAACACAACTTTAAAATATATACACATATTCTATATGTGAATAAGTTTTTCCATGTCAATGTATCCTCCCCGACTCCCCTCCCCTCCTCCTCCCCGGCCGGCTAAACATAAAATTTCTTGTTCTATTCTTGTTAGTTCGGATGTGGATTGTTTTTCTAGGACATGACGAGTTACATGTTTAATTTTAGTATGCAAGAGCTTATATATATATATATATATATATATATAAACAAAGACAAAGGTTTTAGGCCGCCTTCTATTGGATTGTAATATGTGACCTCCCTCATCAAGTGCAAGAGGTGAGATCAACAAGTTCAGCCCAGCAAGAAATTGAGTAGAACCACAGTAGTGAAATATAAAAATCCCATTTTCTAAAATGCACTTCATTCTAAATGATAATCTTTAATCTGCAAGATAAACGATTTTATGATTTTATCTGCGATTTTAGAGGAGGGTTTTTTTGGTCAAAATTGAGTTTAAATGTGTTTAAAAAATGTGTATGATGTTAAAAAATTATTAAATTTGTATTTTTAATGTTTGTTTTTATAATTTTAATATATTAGTATTAAAAATTAAAAAATACATTTAAAATATTTTTAAATAAAAAATATTTTAAAAAATCACTGTACAACACAATATTAAACACTTGCAATAAAAAAGCAGGCATACAGAACTCTTAGAGCAGTGCAACAAAAAGAAGGCCTGGAGAATCAAGCACTGCTTAAAGGGCAACATAATTGGACCATCAAAAAGGGATGGGACAGTCTTCTTATGGCTGCTAGTAATATGTCGCACTAACCATGATATTTATTAATTTGTTAGCAGTTTAAAATAATAATAATAATAATAATAATAAGTGATCGTGACATATAACAAATATTATTAATTCTTGTCAAGAGGATAATTTAGAGCATAATAATATTTTAAGAGAGAGGTGCCTTTTGATGGTTTATTGTACTTCATTCCAGTTAAAATAATATGTGATGATGATCTTATATCTCTTAGTCATCCAATGAAGAGAATTTACAGCCAATGCCATCAATTGCAGTTGTTATAATGGATTTGTGAGAACTGCATAAGGAAGGGAAGGTAGTGTTTGATATTATGATTATATTGATTGTTTTTAAAGTTATTTTTGTTTAAAAATATATTTTTTATTTTTTAAAAATTTATTTTTAATATCAGCACATTAAAATAATTTAAAAATAAAAATTTAATTTTAAACAAAAAATAATTTATAAAACATCATTTGGGCTATGTTTTCAAATGGTATCTAAATATACAAGAAAGTGTGATGTTATATTGACTTTTTATAAATATAATAATTCTATAAAAAAAATTTATAATGCTATAAAAATAACTAATGATATTCTATTAATTATTCATTGAACCCACCTTAAAGGAAAAAATAGATATATATATATATATATAGAAAAAGAAATGAAACTCAAGACTTATTAAAAGTGATAAAAACATTTTTATCTAAGATTTTTTTTCTAGTTATGTTTTTTTAAAATATTATTTACTATATATATATATATATATATATATATGCTTGTCACTAAGCTTCTTGAAAAATTCTAGTTTGCTGAGGGCTTAAACGAGAGGGCTGGAAAGGCTATTCTCAATGGACAATAATCCCTGCCATTTTATTGTAGACTAGCCTTCCCTGTCGCTCGCGTCTGGTGGCAACCATGTCTTTCTTTTAACGGCAAGTTATCCATCCTTGTTGTTTGGGCTAGGCCCAATCCATAAGCAATTATCCATGCTGTTTATCTGCAAGCTATCCATTCCATGAATGCACAGCTATGAGCTATATACGTTGCTTGGGCTTGGCCCAAACTAGGGCTATCTATCAGAGCTTTTAGGCTAGGCCCAAATGACAAGAATTTTTTTTTTATATATAATATATCAGGATCCGAAGATAGATGTGATTCTCATTTATATTTTCGATATATTGTTTTTTATTTTATTAAAAAATTAAATCATATTAATTTCAATTATATATGGTGATGTGATTCTCATTTATATTTTCGATATATTGTTTTTTATTTTATTAAAAAATTAAATCATATTAATTTTAATAATATTTGGTGATGTGATTCTCATTTATATTTTCGATATATTGTTTTTTATTTTATTAAAAAATTAAATCATATTAATTTTAATAATATTTGGTTGGTATCATATAACAGCTATGTATGTTGTTTCTGTTTTTAACAGCTATGTATGTTGTTTCTGTTTTTAAAATGCTTTCTGTTTGGAAATATATAGAAATATTTTTTTAATTTTTTAAAATTTATTTTTAATTTCAACAGAATTTAAAATTATAAAAATAAATATTTTTAAAATATAAAAATAAAAACTCGCAGTCATTGAAAAACAAAAGCACAACGCCACTCGAGAAACACGGGTTCACGATGCCATCGACAAAGCCTGTCCTTTAAGAGGGGCGGGGATTTCTTTGTCGTATCCGTATAGTGGGTTCCACAAAGTTAACGTTTGTGCAACACCAAACACAGTCTTGGCTTGGAGTGGGTTGTCATGCTACATTCTCATATTTTTGCTTGCATAGAGATTAAGCTCTGTTCTATAATTCATTATAAAAATTACATCTTTGTGATTTTATTTTTAAGAAACTGACAGAATTTGAATGCTTATTGTAGCCATGGTTGATCGAAAACTAAACTAACTAAAAAAGAGTTGGATTATTACATGGATTGTTTGATTAATCTGAATTAAAAAAATAGTGTTCATGAATCAAGTTTATTTAAATTAATTAAGTAACTAAAAACTCGCTAATTAAACATTATCAAGTCAATAATTATCCGGTTTTACTAGAATATTAATCCATATAAAACTATGTATTTCAAGTTTTCGACTAAATTCACTAAGACACACTGAATTTAACAAATATAATTATACCAATAATAATATTGTATTTCACACCTATCTACGCATAACAATCTTGATGTTAATTATTAGAAGAGCACATTGGTACCAGATTTATCCCTTTTAAAATTAAAATGCATAATGATTTAAAACATTTAAAGTTAGATTATGATGAATTAAGTCTATCGAGAAGTCATGGCAAGAGTGGTTGACCGGCAAGTAGAAAACCAGCGCACTCCCGTTATAAAGGACACATCCATCCTACGCTACCAGCCATAACGATTCCGATAACAACATTCGGAAAGGAAGCTATACTAGCCATGGCATCCAACAAGAAAATTGTCGATGAAGTTCCTGGTTGGATTCGAGTTTACGACGATGGAACTGTGGACCGAACTTGGACGGGTACACCAGAGATGGAGCCCTTGTTGAAACCAGTCTCACCCCACGAAGAATTCATAAATGGGGTGGCTGTTCGTGACCAAATTATCGATCCGAAAACAGGCCTTGCAGTCCGAATTTATGTCCCAGAAATGAAAAGCAATGTCCAAACCAAAGCTAAGATACCATTGATCCTTCATCTTCACGGTGGCGGCTATTGCGTATGCCAACCTGACTGGAGCTTATACTACCACTTCTGTACACGACTGGTGAGCTCGGTTCAAGCTATTTTGGTCTCCGTCTACTTTAGGCTGGCCCCCGAACATCGGCTCCCAGTTGCCGTGGAGGATTCTTATGCTGCGTTGCTCTGGCTCCGTGCCAATGCTCGCGGCGAATTATCTGATCAATGGCTCACGAGCTATGCTGATTTTAATCGAGTGTTTCTGGTCGGGGATAGCTCCGGTGGGAATTTAGTTCATCAAGTAGCAGCTCAAGCAGGGTTCGATGATATTGAGCCTTTAAAGCTAAGAGGCGGGATAGCCATACAACCTGGCTTCATATCTGACAAGCCGAGTAAGTCATATTTGGAAATACCTGAAAATCCATTATCAACAAGAGAAATGATGAAAAAGTTCACGTCATTGGCCGTGCCTATTGGTAGCACTGGGGAGCACCCGATTGTGTGGCCATTAGGTCCTCAAGCACCACCACTAACCACTCTGAAACTTCCACCTATGCTCGTTGTGGTGGCGGAGATGGATTTACTTCGAGACTATGAATTAGAATATTGCGAGGAGATGAAGAAAGCTGGCAAAGAAGTAGAGGTTTTTATGAATTATGGAATGAGTCACAGCTTCCAGTTTAATAAGCTTGCCATTGACATGGATCCAGAGATAGCTAACCAAACTAATAAGATGGTTGAGGTGATTGTAAGTTTTATCAATAGGAGCTGAGGGTATTGATCATGATATTTTCGCTTCCATTTTCATTGCTACATGGTCATTTTGCCATGTTACATGTTGCAAAAATGCCTAGCAATTCTATCTTTTTAGTATTGCTGCTTGATCTTTTCCTGTCTTTGAATTGAAAATCATTTAACATGTTATTTGATGGATTTATTTTTGGCAAGTGAATATTATAGGATAATTGGCGATTTTTTGTGAAATACAATTACATTATTTTATTTTTTTGAAAAAAAAGCCTATTGCAATATTATCCTCATATTTTCTTAATTCTAACCTAACAATCTCTTACTTTATGTCTCCATAGGCCAATATATATATATATTCCATCCCACTCTGTTCCTATTTAAACGATTTTGTTTAATTAAGCCTTCGAGGTAACACTACAGCAAGGAATTAATTGTTTAGGATCTTAAGTGCAAGTGGAGATAAAAATGTTGGGAAATTTGCTTATTACCCTTCATTGAATATACTACAGTTTAGCAGCAGGAGGCTGTCTCAGAAGATGCTTTCTCACACCAGGAATGTGAACGCTTTTGATGTAATGCTCCCAATTTATGCTTTCTATATCGAAATTGAACTTCTTCCTCTCTTCACTGGACATGTCTTCAATCAATCTCTTCGTATTTCTAACGTCGAACCTGACGAGAAACCATAGATTAATTCCCAAACTTTGGTTAGCTTTTAACATCATAACAAAACAAAAGCCTCGTTTTGTAATGTTGTGCTAGTAATTTGAGCATTTTCTTTCAAACTTTTATAAGTAGAACGGTTCGGTAAGAAACTTGTTTTAAATATGTTCATGTTTAGTATATGATTATGTGAAAAGTAAAGCCCTTACCTTCCTTTATAAAACATATAGGGCTTGTATAAATTAGCAATCCGCATAAATCTATGCACTGTGTCGAAACATGCCAAATGCATTCGAAGATAACGCTTGGGATCCGACATGTACACATTATCATCAGGCGAAAGTCCACTTCGTTGCGCTACTTCATTCTTTATGAAATCGGTAAAGCTATCCATCGAGACCAAAAACTTCATGGGACGGATAGCAATCTTCTTCCCTTTTGAGTCTAATAATGGTGAAGAAGAGAAATAATCATATGCGTAGTTGAAGGCATCCTTAAACGAATGCGGATTTGCCACGGATGTCGCGACGTGGTAAACATGTAGTTCTGGTTTTCCATCAATCCCATGCTTTGCTAAGGCTGTCAAAGTTGCATTCACTACCATGTCCATAGGAACCTACGATAAATATTGTTATCAAAATATGAAAAAGAACAAAAAACTAACGTGGGTTGGAGAATATATATACATACATATATATATATATATATAGTTACTTACAGTATCTGCAATTGTATCAGGGTCTCCGACAAAACCTGGCAGCTGACATTGTCCATAAGCTGCTAAGATTGGCACCCTGTTGTTTTCTCGTTACATATCAAGAAATTGACTCATGGAGCACTTAAGAACTGATTAGAAATACACAAGTGGAGTAATTTACTTAGAGACAACAGAATGTCAAAAAATGGAAGCATACTTGTATCCTTGGATCCATCCGGGAAAAGGTTCTCTGTAGGTGCTCTCAATCAAGCTTGGACGGATGATGACAGTAGGTATGCTTGATCTCATGCTATCTATTAGCATCTCTCCCATTGCCTTGGTCATTTCATAAGTGCTGCACCATCCATGGATTCTTGCCCTATATGAACAACCAGTAGTGACTTGAGAACAGTCCTATATATATGTTTTATTCATGTTTTTGTAAGAAAATTCATGATCTGATATTATCTGTCATGTAAGAACTTCTTAGTTATGACTCTATATAGATGCATGAGGTCCTAAAAATGATTCCTTTTTCACTTTCTATACTTTCTTTAATGGTCATGTATATCAAGTTGCAAGCCTTGTACATGCTTTAAATAGTTGTGTGCTCTGCATTGCAGGGGTTAATCTTCTATGTACTTTAAATAGTTGTATGCCCAGCATTGCGGGATGATATAACTTTAGTCATTCGATTATTCATATAAAATTAATTATTTAGTAATTCCACTATATGGCTATACCTTTTTTTTTTATGTGTTATTATAGTTGTTATAATTATGTACATTTGAATAAAATTATTAACAAATCACGTACCCATAAAAATATTTAACCTTAATTTAATATTTTTTTTATAGTTTTTTCCCCCTAACTTGGTATGATTTAAAAAAAATTAATTGAGATTAAATTTAGAAAATTTTCTTCCGAAACTAATATCAAAAGGTAGTGAAAGTTTTTTAAAACTATATAATATAATCTATTTTCTCAAAGCACTTTAAATTTAAATTTTTAATTATAGCTTATTTTTTAAGAAAAATACCATTGTATTCGTTTGTTTTCTTATTATCAAGAAAAATATTGTAATAAAAAGATAATAAAGAATCATATTGTACATAAGTGATCTCCTCTAGTATCATAAGCCTTTGAATAGCTTGAATGATCTTGATATTTATTGATATCTAGGTTAAGAGATAGTTTCTAGATTTTTATGCTTTTATTTTTTACAAAAAATAAACTTATATCAACAAATTGTTATTCAAAGTATTTTATTACGATACTTCTCATATTATTTTTTTCAACTTGATATTAATATTTTTATTTTTATTATTTTTATCAACATTCATGGCAAGATGAAAACAGTATATCTACTTAATTTTTTAATAAATATAAAATTTTATTGGTTAGATTTTATTGATGCATACGCATTTTATATGTCATTATCATATCACCCTTATCATTATAAATTGCATACATTTTAATAATTTTACATGAGAAAAAAAAAAGAGAAAATTTTATATTGTAAACTTGATATATATATGTGTGTGTGTGTATAATTTTGATGAATTCAAGAAAAATGTTATAGTTGCACTGTATGTATAAAATAGAAGATAGATGGGAACCTCTTGGCGCCTTTAAATGCATGGAAAGGACAATCTACGAATAAAGAACAATTTTCGAATAGTCTAATCTTATACGTACTTTAATGTTCTTCAATATTAATTGATTTACTTTTTCAAATTGAGGAATATCAACTTTCACATGTCTTCATCCAATTAAAGGACTCTCTAGTATTAAATTCCTCATTTTAGTGACGGTTAACAGATAGATATTACATTGCATCTCATTGGGGTTTAATGGAAGAAATTGAATGTCTAGCTGGGGCTCATCCACTGCCTAAATCTAATGAATATAGGGTTAGATTGACGGATTCTGTCTCACTGGAGCTCATCCACTGCCTAAATCTAACGAATATAGGGTTAGATTGATGGATTTTGCGTCTCTGGGGCTCGACTGCCAATTTGACACAAACATAAAGTAGGTGCTCAAAGGGATTAAATCAATACCTTTCCATTCCCAACTCTCTCATGATTCGATCTGCATTTCTGTCAATAGATTCGACTGCAACAGAAGCCAACTTGATTTCAGCATCGATATCCAAAAAGGGGACAGAGATTTCTTGAGCTTTTGAGGTGATTGTGTCTCTCATTGCGGTCCTTTGTTCCAAGCAGAAAGGCTTCTCAAAGAATACTCCTTGTCTTGTCCCATTAACATAAGCTGTGTAATACATAATATGGTATTTACTCCCTTGATGCAGTTATTAATTAATAAGATTATAAGAATAATCAAATGAGGCCATTGATCTCCATTTGTACGTACCAGATGAGACATGCAAGAAAAGTCCAAGTTTCTTGCATTTCTTCCCAAATTCCAAGACACGAGCAGGCCCTTTCGTGTTTATGTTGATAGCAACATCGTACCTACGTATTCATGTTCATGTAAATATATAAAAGTGAAACTAAATTTACTACAGTAACATATGAAATTGAAAAGAAAGAAAAAATAGTGAACATCTTCGATGGCTGGGAAGATAAGGCCATGAATTACATGGTACTTAATTTCTTAAACTTTACTAGACACAAAATTAAGAAAACTTAACCTTGTATCCCAAGTTGTCTTAGCTGCTGAGTTGATAATCACATCAATTTCTTTGGCAATTTCACTAGTTGTGTCAGCATCAATCCCTAAATTTGCTGAGCAAACATCCCCACACACCGGAACCAGCTTGCTCATCATAAAGGCTTCGTATGAACTTCCATGGATTGCTTTAAGGATCTTGAAAACTTCTGCATTTATGATCTAACTAAAATAGAGCAAGTCAAATTTCCTATCAAGAGTCTCTTCTATTGGAAATAAATCAAGAGTTTGGGGACTGAAAGTTTAATTTGGTTAAACAAGAAATGATATACAAAACATACTTCAATTTTCAATCTCTTCATTGTAGCTTCCTTGTCTTTCCCCTTGATCAAGAGAAACAACTTTCCCACATCAGGAATTGCTCTCAACATCTTTTCAACCAAAGCTAAAAAAGAGAGAGAGAGATTAAAAATACTCAGCAATATGGTTATAAGTTTTAAATTATCAAGAAATCATATAAAATTAAGAGATTAAAAAACGAGGGGGAGAAAATTATTAATGCGAGGTCCATTACTTACCTTTTCCAAGAAACCCAGTTGCCCCTGTGATGAAATAGTTCTTTCCTTGAAGAAACTCGACAATGCCAATGCCATCACATGGTGATGATCCTTGATCCATGGAGTGATTCGTCCTCTTGGACTTTTAGCAACAAGGCAATGCTATTGCGTTATTGTTTTTTGAAGCTGGGCTGAGAAAAAGGTGCCTCGAACTTGTTTGGAGGAGGATGGATTGCATTCAATACATAATGTTTAGATTAATTAACAAATTCCCATTGGTTTGCAGAATTAATTTCTTGAGTTCCAATATGAAAACAACAAAATTGTACCAAATGAAAAGGTGTGGGTTCAGAATCCTTTCGCTGGTGCTGGTGGGATCGACCACTCACAAGAATATCAGCTTTTTAATTTTTAATGATTTTTTTAATGACTAAAATATCCTTATTTTGTTTAGAATAAACTAGATAGCAGCCACGAGTCACTCGGCGGGGCCGGTCTTATTTTTTTCCCTGGTAAAAAATTAAATATTAAGGTAATATAAGTGTTTTTAAAAAAAAAAACATTAAAGGCTCGAGTAATTTAATAAATTTGATTAATTTAATAACTTAAATAAAATAAATAATTTTTTTAAAAAAATACAACTCACAGCAAATTAAATAAGAATTAAATGAATAGTAATTTATACTAAGTACAGAAAATATAAATTGAGTACTTAGTACAGAAAATAAATATAAATAGCGAGGGAATATAATGAAAATTTTCAGACAAAATAATACAGTTTGAGAAAGTGGCGTTTCAACCACAATTTGGAGGTGGCCTCTGAATAAAGTGTATTGTACGGACAGGCATCTTGAAAGTGGATGCCATTCCTTTAATAATTGAACATCAAATCTATCTCATATCCTGTGTCGAATACATGACAAAAATATAAATCTGTTGTTATGTTTTTTTATTTATTTGTTTAGGTAGTTTTTGAGATGAAAGTGTATTTCACATAAAAAAATATTTAAGTAATTGGCATTTTTAAATATTCTTTATAGTTTTGATATGTCAAAAATAAAAATAAAAAATATTTTAATAAATTTTTAAAATGATAAATATTTTTTTAAAAAATTACTCCGCTTTATAATATTAAATACAAAGTTAGCCTTAAATCTAAAAAATGGAGTGTTGGCGTATACAGAATAAGACATAGGTTTTGGTAGAAATTGAAGCAACTTGTGTTTAGCATCTAGGTAGATTACAAGTCCAAAATCTCAAAACTTGCATGTAACTATAGACATGTCCTTTTTCCCTTCAGTGAGGGCTTTATTCCTTGAATTGCACAATAACATATATCTTTAATCATGCCTTATAATCTAGAATATGGCCATCCCTAATTTAATTTCCGAGCCCATGCCTATCAATTTTCTTATAGCACTTGGATATTATGGGATAATAGGCCATTTTATATAGAAAAATAATCTTCTATGATATTTGATAGATAATGATGTGAAGATTAACTAATATATTAAAAGAGAATATGATTTTGTTCCAGTCATGGTTGATTGTATTAATGTTCACACACATTAGACTGTTTATTGAGCACATTTCACACAAAAACATAGCCCTATTCATTCGGTATTAATTTTGTTGTTTTTTTATTTTTAAGTACTAAATAGTAACTTTATTTTATGATGTTTTCGTGCTTTGTTCTAGTCCCCTGATTTTCTATTTATTGTCTTTTAGTCCCTCAACTTTTTTCAAAGAAGGGTGAAATTGAAAAGAAAGCAATAATAAATAAAACTATATAAATAAATATTACGAATAAAATTGCACCATTATTAAATTTGATATATAGCTATGAAAACATTTATATAGGATAAAAAGATACAGATTGAAATTGAGATTCCAAAAAACCTATTGAACTCCAAATCACCATAAATAAAATCCGTCTAAAAAAATCAAATCAATTTTTTTTCAAATTTGGATATGCTTTTCTTCGGCATTAAAAAAATTCTAAATTATTTCTATAGAACTCAAGTCTTTAAGATAAATTTATTGATATGGACTCAGAAGATAATTGATGAGATTATAGGTTTCATGAATAGGCATTAATTCGAGGGAAGTTTAGCAATATTAATTATGGAATAGATCAAATAATTAAGAGGATCATGTGTTTCTAAGAGGTGGTGTGCTCTATTCAATGTTAATGGCTATTTGCGCTGTTACAATACAAGATAAGAATTATCTGGTCAATCAGTGTGTGTTGTATGGTTTGGATCATCTGCCCAGCCTTGTAGAAAGAAGTTGGTTTTTCTTTTGGGCTGGTCCTAGCCTAGTTTTATTTTGGGCCCAAACCCAATTCATTATTATAATATATAATGTTATATGTTGTCTATTTTTTAGAAAAAAATCCCAAAAATTCTTTCAAAACAATTTGTGATTTTTGTCATGTATTTTTATACCATTTTGATTAATATTGATTTATATTTTTATACCATAAGAATACAAATCTAATATTAAAATACTTAAGTTTTCTTCAAGATGTTGCAAAAAATCAAAACAAAAAAAAAATCTTGTTTTCATGCATACAACCAAATATCTCAAAAAATCATATTGTATCTTCATATAACAAATGATTCAAAAATATATTTTAGCATGCATTTTAGCTTTAACAACTAGTTTATAAAAACCATGAGAACTAGATCAATATTTCAAAAATATCCAAAACATATTTTGTTTCCTTTTAGCATATAAAATTATAAATTTATACATAAGACGTATTCCTGTTATTAAAAAGATAGTTTTTTATGTATAGATTTTAGAGCTGTTAGGTTTTACCTAATAAGATAAAGATTTTCTTACTAAGAATAATTTTTCTTAAAACTTAAATAGATCAACAACTAGAAAACACAATAAGATTTTAGTTTTATCATACAATTAAATAATACAGCTTACCTTAGGTAGGGCGTATTTGGGGTGCTAATACCTTTTCTTTACCCAACCAGTCTCTATACTTAATCTCTGAAATCATTTAGGGTTCTTAGTAACTAAACACCATGCAGTGACTCTCATTCTTGATTTTCACAGATAAAATATAAGAATTTCTTGTTTATCCCATTTTCCCGATTACCTGACATATACTCAAGAGTTAATGATTACCGCGACACCATATACCTGCAATAATTATATTTATAATATTAATTATAATCAAAATAATAATTTTTTTTTTATTTTTCTTCTCTGCAAGGTATGCAAACTTAGCTGCACGAGTCTTTAACCTCTCGGAGGGTTTGCCGACCCCAGGTACATGTCAAAAGAGACTTAAGTGAGCAGGTCTGCATCCAACACACGATTCTATAGATTCGAGTAAGCAAGTCTGCAAATCGAGCACACGGGTCTGTAGCTAGGCGCGAGGGTTTGGCCTTAGCGCCTAGGGCATGGTAGCTCCAGCACCAAGTGTCTGTAACCTCATCATGCCCCACCAAAATTTGCATTTACTGTTTTCTCATAAACCATCATTTCAATGTCAAATGCATCCCAAAAAAACACACACAAATAACTTCACCTTCTCCCTGCAATCTTTGCAACTCTTTGTGGAAAAAGCAGCTTTGTCATTACATTGCTTCAATCAACCGTGCTTTGTGTTTAGGTAAATAGTAATAGGATACTTAGCTCTTTTAGTAAATTGTATATTTTTAATATTAATACTTTTAATTATAATAAAAATAATAATATTTATAATATAAATAGTAATATTTATCATATTAAAAATAATATTAAAATTTTATTATTATTTATAGTAATATTTTTTTTAAAAAAATTATTAATGATAATAATAACAATAATAATAATTATTATTATATTTTTTTTAATTTTCTTATTAGGAAGGTTTGTAGACCCAGAGGCACAAGCAAACCCTAGGTGCGCAGGCTGCAATCTCAGGCACATGGGCCTACAAACCCGCTCTCCTAGGTCTGCAGCCAGGTGAGCGAGTTTGGCCTTAGCGTTTAAGGATGGCAACTCCAGCGCCAAATGTCTATAGCAGTTGAATGTATATCTCATTTTATATTATGGAATATCTTGATTTTGCTTGCATAGACTTTTTAATTTATATTTTAGTTTTTTATATAAAAAAATACATTAAAACCATCTACATATCTAATATTTTTAAAAAATAACATGCTGCTAAATGCAAATTAAATGAATAGTAACTTATAGTAAAATACAAAGGTAAATAATTGTAGATGGGATTAATTGGGTAATTAGTATAAAAATAAAAATAAATGGTGAAATAATATATGATGATTTTTTTTTTGATAAAACAATAAAGTATTCTCAACCGAGACATTAATCAACAAACCAGATATTTCAGAAAGCAACGGACATTTACTAAAAGAAGGCAAGATAATTTTAAAATATTCTATTTCATAAAAAAAAAAAAACACTTTGGCGGTGGCCTCTGAATAAAGTGTATTGTGCGGACAGGCATCTTGAAAGTGAATGTTGTTCCTTTAATAATTGAACATGATATCTATCTCATATCATATGTCGAATACATGACAAAAATATAAATTTGTTGTATTATTTTTTTTATTTGTGTAGGTAGTTTTTGAGATTGCGAAAGTGTATTTCACATAAAAAAAGAATTTAATTAATTAATATTTAAAAAATAATTATAGTTTCGATATGTTAAAAATTAAAAACAATTATTTTAATATATTTTTAAATAAAAATTACTATAAAAAAAATACTATGTAGCACAATACTAAATACAAGATCTAAAAAATCGAGTGCTGGTGAAATCGTATCGGAATATCACATAGGATTTGGTAAAAATTTAAGTTGCTTGTGTTTAGCAAAGAAAATAATCAAAAAATATATAAAAAATATTAATTTAAAGTTAAAAAAATATAAAGTTAAAAAATTAAAAATATTTTTAAAATACAAAAATAAATAGAATCTTAATTTGTTTAGCATTCAGGTAAAATATTATAATTCTACAATCTCAGAACTTGCATGTAATTATAGACATGTCTTTTTTCCCTTCAGTGAGGGCTTTATTCCTTGAAATTGTACAATAACATATATCTTTAATTATGCCTTACAATCTAGAATATGGCCATCCCTAATTTAATTTCCGGACCCATGCCTATCAATTTCATTAAACCAATTGAATATTATAGGATAATAGGCCATTTTACATAGAAAAATAATGTTCTATGATGTTCATTCGGTAGTAATTTTGTTGTTTTTTACTTTTAAGGACTAAATAGTAACTTTATTTTATGATGTTTTCGGTCTTTGTTTTAGTCCCCTTATTTTATATTTATTTTCTTTTAGT